AAGAGAAATTCTATGGTACCCATCTTATTTGAGAGGGTACCGGTACAGTTTTTTATATTTTATATTTTTAGTAATTTATTTAAATAATATTTATAATATTTTATCCTTTCAATTTTTAAATTATTTAGTCATTTTATTTTTATTTTATATATTCTAATTTATTTGTAATAATATTATTATATATTTAAATAGTTTAATTTTAATAATTTTTTAAGTATATTTTTATCTTTTCACTTAAAATTTTTGAATTTTTATATTTTAATTTTAATAATTTTTTAAGTATATTTTTTGTCTTTTTGTCTTAAATTTTTGAATTTCTATATTGTAATTTTAATAACTTTTTATTTCTACTATTTATTAATTTTTTCTTTTTCTTTAATATTTTATAATATTATTGAAAACTTATAATTTTAATCTCTATAATTTTATCTTACTTTTTATTTTATAAGTATAATTTAGATTATTTATTTTATAATTAAATTAATTTTTTTAAAAAAAATTTATGAATTTACATAGAAAAATGTATTGAAACCCTTCCATCTTTGAAGGTACCGTAGCAACTCCCTATATATATATATATATATTTATTTATAGCAAAAAAAAAAATCACTCTATTAACAGTAATTATTTTATTTTAGAGAAGCACGAAGTAATATTTTTGTCTTTTAGTATATATAATTAACAGTTTTCAGGTGAGTGTGCATTGTTTTTCCGCCATCAAGTATTTATAAAGAATTTTGTATATATCACTTTTTGAGACTGCGCTGACTCAACAATTCACTTTAACTTTTCAACACGGCGCGCGCTGACTCAACAATTCACTTTAAATTGTACATTCTTAGTAATCAACTATCTACAAAAACATTATAAAATTAAAAAAAAAAAAAAAAAACTATCTACTATAATATCTGCATAAGCCTCGTCCTTATTCATTGATGAATGATGAAATATATACGTGAGGATATGAATAAAAATAGGCTACAATTAATACATCATATCTACATAATCTTTTATTAATGTAAACAAAAATTTATGCAAATATTCATTCCATAATCTAACATACATCTAGAAACATATTAAAAAAAATATATATATATACAGAAATGTTGCTTTCTATCTATAATTATCACATTTTTTAATGGTAATATATATATAAAAAATAATAATATATTTAAATAATATTATAAAATAAATTCTGATTAATTAAAATAATAATTTAAATTATAAAATATTAAATTAAAGTACGCCCCACTGAGTTGCTCTACCATGAGCTTCGAGTCGCTGTTGCAACTCACTCTTCGAGCTCCGAGGTCGTAGGCTAGCCTCAGTCCTGCGAGGAGTTCCTCGTACTCCGCCTGGTTGTTGGTCACCTTGAAGCTAAACTTGAGGGACTGCTCCAAGGTGACTTGGTTTGGCCCTTCCAAAATGATACCTGCACCACCACCTTTAGAGTTGGAGGACCCGTCAACGTGTAAAGTCCATACCTTGAGGTTCCTCGGCGGTAGTAGGCGTGAGCTCGGCTACGAAGTCGGCCAGACATTGGGCTTTCATGGGTTCGCGACTTTCGTACTGGATGCCAAACTCCGACAATTTTACTGACCACGCAATCATCTATCCGGCGAGCTCGAGCTTTCGCAGAATTTGCTTGATGGGGTAGTCGATTTTTACTACCACCTAGTGACCTTAGAAGTAGGGTCGGAGACGCCGAGCTGCGGTGACAAGTGCTAGTGCCAGTTTCTCGATCATTTGGTACCGCTTTTCCGCGTCTTGGAGGACTCAGCTGATGAAGTAGATCGGTGTCTGCACTTTCTGGTGCTCTTGTACTATCACTGCGCTGATAGCGCTTTCTGCCACGGCCAAGTAGAGGAGGAGGTCAGTTTTGTGATCCAGCCTCTGTAGGATTGGCGGAGTCGTGAGAAAGGTTTTGAAGCTTCGGAAAGCTTCTTCGCATTGATCCGTCCACTGAAAGTTTTGTGGCTTCTGTAGTAGAGTAAAGATCGGCCTTGCCTTTTCTGCAGGTCTGGGGATGAAACGAGACAGTGAGACCAACCGTCCGGCTAGGCGTTGGACCTCCTTCACCGTTTGTGGACTTTGCATCTAGATGATTGCTTTACACTTCTCGGGATTGGCCTCAATTCCTCTGCTGGTGATCATGAAACCGAGGAACTTGCCTCCCTGGATGCCGAAAACGCACTTCTCCGGATTGAGGCGCATGTTGTGCCTCCTGATCTGAGCAAACACCTCGGCGAGGTCGATAGCATGATCTGTTGCCGAGGTGGTCTTGACTACCATGTCCTCGACGTAGACCTCCATGTTCCACCCGATCTGGTGGTGGAAAACCTTATCCATCAGCCGCTGGTAGGTCACCCCCGCATTTTTGAGACCGAAAGGCATCACCCGGTAGCAATAGTTGGTTGGGTCGGTGATGAAGGACGTATGTACCTCGTCGGGTGGGTAAATCATTATCTGGTTGTACCCGGAGTAGGCGTCGAGGAAACTGAGGAGGGCGTGCCCGGACGCTTCGTCAACCAGCCTGTCAATGCTGGGCAAGGGGTATGAGTCCTTGGGGCATGCTTTGTTCAAGTCGGTGTAGTCGACGCACATGCGCCACTTCCCCGAGCTCTTCTTCACCAGGACCACATTTGTCAGCCATGTGGTGTATCTGACCTCACGGATGAAGCCAGCGTTCAACAATTTCTGTGTCTTAGTGATGATGGGCTCCCGCCTTTCACCGCCGACCTTCCTCTTCCTCTGGGCCACTGGCCTTGCCTCCTTATTGATGTTGTGTATTTTACTCGTATTTTAGCACTTTAATTCACAAGAATTCATAGCATAAAAGCCCAATGTCTGGCCGACTTCGTAGCCGAGCTCACGCCTACTACCGCCGAGGAACCTCAAGGTATGGACTTTACACGTTGACGGGTCCTCCAACTCTAAAGGTGGTGGTGCAGGTATCATTTTGGAAGGGCCAAACCAAGTCACCTTGGAGCAGTCCCTCAAGTTTAGCTTCAAGGTGACCAACAACCAGGCGGAGTACGTTAGAGATTGTATCTTTACTCGTACAAAATATATAAATATATCTATTTAAAGTATAGTTACAAATAATTTTAATGTTGATTTTGAATGAGATTTAACAAATATTTTGTATGTTATTATACTCTATATTCATACTTTTTAATAATATATTAATATATTATATTTATTGTGTAAGTAAAAATAATTGTTTAGTGTAAGTGAATTTTGTTGTAATGGTGAGCCGAGTAAGAGAAAACCAACCTCCATAAAAAGGAGCATGCGTTCTGCAAATTCTATGGTGATGGAGATCACGCGTGGTGTTGAAGCTGGAAGCTCTCTGAATGGTGGAGGAAGCGACGGAACAGTGACAGGAAGGGCTTCTGAGCGTGACGTGAAGGTCTCCGTTTTGGCCGACTTCCGTGTCCGTTTGCAGCGGCTGGTCTCCGTCGAGAGAGGAAACGTCGGAGTGAACGGTGAGCGAGGCGATGGCGCCTGCGTTCTGAGGGAACTGCTTGGCAATGAGGCGCATGGCGGCTCTGTACTCGTAGAGGAAGAGCATGAGCGTGATCCAGAGGACGCCCTGCATGACGAAAATCTGGCTCATGAGGCTGGCGGAGGAGTCTCCGTACATGGCGGTTAGGAGAGGGACTCCCACGACGACCGTGTTGGGCAGAGAGGAGAGGGAGAAGAGCGTGAGGGTCCAGTCCAGGGTGCCGCACTTGGTGAGCGTGGACCATGCAATGAGCGCGCACAGGATCACCACCTTTTGCAGCGTGTCCGCGGCTATGAACCTTAGGTTCATGGCGTACGGGTTGGCGAAGGCCAGGAAGTGGAAGTTGAGGAAGGGAACTGCGAACACCGCCACGAAGCGGTTTATGCCGGAGCACTGTTCCGGGGTGAAGATCTTCCACCAGCACACGGAGCCGTAGGCTAGGATCATGGGCACGTATAGCGGCACGATTGATGCCAACACGTTGTAGATTTCTATGCCCGTGATCATGGTTTGGTTGTGGCTGGAGAAGAGGTGGACGATGGGAGTGAAATGAGGTGGGAGGGATTGGGAAATGGTGGTGCTATTTAAATGGAAGGAAAAGTGACATGAATGACAAAGGAACCCACGTGGAAAGGAGGATGGTGTAGATACTCAAATTTTAGTGACTTGGACATTAATCAGCAATAAATAGCATATTCCTAAGTCAAAAGCAGTTCATTGTGCGTGCCAAAACAAATTGCTTAAATAAACCCTGGCGTTGGAACCAGATGTGTTTATGGTGGGTTTGCTTACGTATTTTTCTTTAAAAGTAAACTCTTTAAATTAATAATGTTAAGAGAAATTTATTAATTTAGAGAGTTATTAATTTATCGATAAATTAATAATTATTAATTTAAAGAGTTTTTAAGTAATTATACTGTACATATCAAATAAAAAGAAAAATTAGTCTATGCCTTTTAGAATTACGTTGCAGCGAATCTTGGGACTCAACGTAAATTAGTAACTTTTGAAGTACATATGCATTGAAAATCAATACGTAATGACTCTTCACAACTTTATGATACAATACAAAAATACAACACCTGAGCTATTGGATGCAATAAGAAAAATTAGAGATAAGCTCCAAATAGACTTGAACTTTAAAGGAAAACAGACAACTATTGAATCATATTTCAATAGAGTGTAATATATTTTTTCAGTTTCTATGAATTATTAATTTATGATTTTCTTGGGACCGAAAATTATAAAGGGATCTCCCAAAAAATTATTATCTTATTATTTTATCGAGTTTTTCAATTTTTTACATTGGCCCAAGTTGGGACCAGACAAATTTATTATTTTAGAGAGTTTATTAATTTACCGAGTATTAATTTAAAGAGTTTCTACTGTAATAACAAATATAAGTATAATTCGGTTTCAATGAATAATGAAATTTAAATTTGGTTTGAATTGACTTTTAATTAAACTTGACTTTTGAAATTATTAAAGTTTTTTATTTAAAAATATATAATATTATATTATTTGTTTGAAGATTATACATTAAAATATGTAAATAATAGAATATTTCAATCACTTAATTATTTGACACTAATTCTTATCTTATTATTTTAGTAATAAAGTTTTTTTTTATACAATTTTAGTTATTATATTAAATATTTTTTTATATATAGTTTGTCACTTAAAAGTTTATTTTCAAATATTATAAATAATTTATAATTTTTCATTCTAAAATTAAGTTTAGTAGTTTTTCTTACCAAAATCCTGCTAGTGCTTCCAAGATGATGCGACATCCTCATTGCTAGGTATGGCAACAGGAGAAAGCAGGTTTGGGTTTTACTATATATCCTTGTCACCATTCTCGTATTTTATACTCATCCATGTCCCTATATCCAACAAGTATGAGATTTGTGTCCTCATTCTTATCCTTGTCCCCGTTAAGTATCGGGTATACCCATACCCACCCTGTACCCGTTCAAAAAAGTAATTAAATATTTTTTTTAAAAAAAATATTAAAAAATAAGAATTTCAACATAGAGTGACAAATACAAAATTACATTAATTAAGTTTTATTTGACATAAATTTAAAATAACATAAGAATTACATAAGTGTCAAGTAAATATTTTTAAAAATAAATCAAGTTTCTAGAAATTTAAAGCGGGTATAGGCATAGGTACGAGGCAAGTATGTGTATACTCATCTTTGTCCTTATAGCGGATTAATAAATTGGGTATTATTTGTACCCATACCCGTACCTATACCTTTACCCGATCAAACAAGATATTTCCTATCAAAGCTGGGACAGGCTCGGGTATTACCCATGGGTACAAGTTTACTTGTCATCCCTACTTGTTTCTCCAATATTCGTGGTAGGGGGGAGAGAGCACTTGCAAAGACACTTCGATGTTTAAGTTAGAGAAAAGTTTAGGTCAAAAATTAGGTTAAGATAATATGATACCTAGTGCCCTATATATGTTTGATAGTGTTACACGATATCTCAAAGATATCCACTACAAGAAAGATGCAAACTTTCGACGGATAAAATCCGTCGGTAAAAAGGAATATCCGTAAGAAATTCTTTATTTTTGACAGATTTTTTACAGATGCAAATCTGTCGGAAAAAGAGGCATCGAAAAAAAAAAATTCGTCGAAAATAATTTAATCCGTCAGAAATTTCTGAAGAATATATTTGTCGGTAATAATCTGTTGGAAATTAATGGCGAATACATCCATCAAAAATTAGCAATGAATAAATCCGTCAGAAATTAGCGACGGATATATCCTTAAAAAATTGTTTAAAAATCTTTATATGATTTCGACGAATAAATCCATCGAAAATTTTTTGTTTAATTTTAATAAACTTATTAATGTAACAACCCTTATATTTGGCCTCTCAAGGATTTTATTTCATAACATTTTACTTTTTAGCGTGTTTTGTCCTTACTTCCACAATTTCTGGGAAACTTCCCAGAAAGTCACCTATCCTTATATTACTCCAAGACAAGCACACTTAATTATGGAGTTGATGGAATGAGATAAGTGAAGTGGAGAGGTTTGCTTCCTTTGTCTCCTCCAAGCAATCGGATCTTCTTCCTTGATGAACAATACCGGATTTGAAGAGTGTTGATGGATCAAAGATGAAAGAAACCTAGACTAGGATGGAATTCAAAAGAGTGCTCACAGTCAAGCTTAGAAACTAGGGTTCCTAAGGCTAAAACTATGAACTCTAGGTGACTTTGAGGGAGAGAACAAGGCTGAAATATTTTCAGAAATTCTTATATATGTCAAAGTGCTTACAAAATGAATGAGGAATGCAATATATAGGAGCGGATCAAGCTTGCTAGTGGCACCAACTCATGCAAGAAAATTATGCGCCAAGATTTGAATTTCAAATGGAATTTGAAATTCAAATTTTGGATCACCTATGTGCTAGTCCGTGAATGGTGCTTCTAGCCATCATCTAAGTTTAATTTAGAATGGATTTGGATTGAATTTAGGTGCACATGTTCAGCACCAACAAGGCTTGAACCATGTGACCCAAATTCAAGTCAAATGACTCCTAAATTAAACTTAGATTAAGCCTAATAGTCCAATTATTGAATTCCTTCTATATTCCTAATCTAATGGCCTAAATACAATGGCCAAGCAAATACAATGGAAAGGAAAAATGACAAGGATTAAAATGAGCTCAATATTGGGTACCAAAAGCCCAAAAGCCCATGGAGCCCAAAACTAGGCCCAATAAGCCTAAAACCCAAAAAGTCCTATACTAAGGTCCATAATACAAGACCAAACGAAATGAAATCCTACACTACTCAACATGCAATAAAAGGTGGTCATCCATGTAAAGCCCAAGTGAAGAGAACCCTAGGCCCACCAAGCCCATTGGGCCCACTAAGCTCTGAAGCAGTCAAATCTTCAAGTAGTCTTCTAGCCATAGCTCTAGTGGTTGGACCCTTGGTCCATGCTCTTCCATCATCTCCTCCCTCTTGAGAAGGATTCGTCCTTGAATCTAAGGAGTCATCCTCATCATCACTAGCTTCTACAAAAGGTTTTAAATCACTAACATTAAAAGTAGGGCTAACACCATAATTAGAGGATAAATCAAGCCTATAAGTGTTATCATTGATACGCTGTAGGACTTGAAAGGGTCCATCTCCTCGGGGACTAAGTTTTGACTTTCTTTGTTGAGGAAAACGTTCTTTTCTAAGATGAAGCCAAACCCAATCACCTTCCTCGAAGATCATGTTTCTTTTGCCCTTATTACTAGCTTTGGCATATCTCTCATTTTGTTGTTGTATATGAGATGTAATCCTTTCATGTAGTTTTTTTTACAAAATTAGCCCTTGAAGCCCCTTCCTTATGTATAAAATGATTAACATTAGGGAGAGGTATCAAGTCAATAGGATTCAAAGGATTAAAACCATATACAGCCTCAAAAGGAGAAATATTGGTAGTTTTATGGACTACCCTGTTGTAGGCAAACTCAATGTGTGGTAAATACTCATCCCAAGATTTGTGATTACTCTTCAAGACAACTCTAAGCATAGTAGGTAGAGACCTATTGACTACCTTATTTTGACCACCAGTTTGAGGATGGCAAGTAGTAGTAAAAAGGAGTTTAGTTCGTAGTCTTGACCACAAGACACGCCAAAAATGGCTTTGGAACTTAGTATCTCTATCAGATACTATGGACTTAGGGAGTCCATGAAGCTTAACCACATCTCTAAAGAAGAGTCTAGCAATGTTGCTTGCATCATCTATTTTGTGGCATGGAATAAAATGGGCCATTTTGCTAAAGCGGTCTACTACCACAAAAATAGAATTCATCCCTCTTTGGGTTCTAGGTAAACCTAGCACAAAATCCATGCTAATATCTACCCAAGGGGATAAAGCAACATGCAAAGGTGTATATGTTCCATGAGGCATAACTTTAGACTTAGCTTGTAAACAAGCCAAACATCTAAGGCAATGCCTTTGAACATCCTTTCGCATATGGGGCCAAAAGAATTTTTCTTTAACAAAATTGAGAGTTTTATCAACCCTAAAATGCCCCATAAGCCCACCTTCATGACTTTCTTTTATCAATAGTTTCCTCATGGATCCTTGGGGTATGCATAGTTTTCCCTCCTTATACAAGTACCCCTCAGCCATGTAAAAACCATTGAAGGCTTTTTGTTGATAATTTGAATAAATACTACCAAAATCTAGATCTTTCTCATACATTTCCCTAATATTATTGAATCCAAGGATTTGAGTTCCCAAAGACATAAGAAAAGTATGTCTTCGTGATAAGGCATCAGCCACAACATTAACTTTGCCTTTCTTGAATTTAATAATATATGGGAATTGTTCAAGAAATTATAACCATTTGTCATGTCTTTTATTCAACTTACCTTGGCCTCTTAAATAATTTAGTGACTCATGGTCACTATGTATCACAAACTCCTTGGACACTAGATAGTGTTCCCAAGTTTGTAAGGCCCTAACCAATGCATACAACTCTTTATCATAGGTAGGGTAATTGAGGGATGCACCTTTTAGTTTTTCACTAAAATATGCAATGGGGTATCCTCCTTGCAATAACACAACCCCTATACCAATTCTAG